CACCGTGTTTGCTTGAGCATGGGCCGAGAATAATAGCTGAAAAGCGGGCTTAGGATCTCAATATTTACGGCGGCTCTAGCCGCATCCCGGCGCGAAGGGGTTAAATGATTGCTTTAGGTATGTTTCATTCACTGATAGCTGGATTTTGAGGCTTCAACTCGTGGAATGGGACAAGCCAATAGTGACAGTTTTCCTACGACTTGTTCCTTGTATTTGTATAATAATCCCTGTTATGTACTCATATAAATATACATTGGTACTGTTCTATTGGTTGAATAACTCCAAAATGTTTTTTTCTCTTTAATTGCAGAAACGTATGACAGGTACATGGGTCTTGACCCATCTCAATTGCAGCATGGCTTTGATGAGGTCCCTGAGCTTCAGGAGTGAGTCATTTTTGTATTTGATGTACATGTTGGTCTCTCAAGTGACGTCACGTCCCATAGATTTTACTTCACTTTTTGTGATGCCCATCTGCTGTGCCGTCTTTCGGACATATTTGGATCAACGTTTTGTAAACTTGGTTTTGTGTTTTTCTTGCTTCCACAAAATTCAGTGCCGATGAAAATGTGCGTAGAATCTTCAGTCTGGAATTTGCTCCAGGGGTAAGTGGTGTGAAATGGTTGAATTGCTAGGGGTCTGTGTTGCCAACCAATATTTTCATCATGGAAATCAGTCCTCAGTACTGCTGGTAATGTTTCCTTGGTAGAATTGAAGCTCCCAAAAAACTCCCAGCTGGAAGATTTCTTGTGGTTTGAAGATTACTATTAAGTAACATTACTTCCTGTGAGGGTCACTTGTTTAAAGACTGAATGCAAAAAAAGTCAAGTTTTTTGGTTCAAGAACCTCAATGTACATAAACTTCCAAGGATGGAAACATTATAATGGTTCTGCTTGTGAACTGTTAACACTGGTTAAGTGCTGGACCATGTCATTAACATTACTACTGAGAACTACATTTAAGTCCTGGTAATGTGTTTTTCTTACTTGCTTCAGAGTGAAATTAAGAAATTACAAGAAGTAAAGATCTTGGAAGAGGTCGGAGCCGACCTAGCAGGAATTGACTTCACCAACTTCCTGGTAACTCAGAGTAAGTGTCTGGGAAATTGTGAGAGTTGTCTGAGACTTGTCACCTCCTAGAGACTTGGGGAAGGGTTGCCAGCCATTTGGGAACTCACAACATGTACATGTATCTTGTCTTAGTGACTTGGGGAAGGAATTCAATATTGCTTTTGAAGGCCTTAATTCTACCAATGACAGAAGTGTAGCGGACCATAACACTCACCTCTCAATGTTCAGTAAGCCAATTTGGTCCCCTTGAGATCTTACTATTTTAACCTGATAACAATCTAGTATAGGCCTACAAAATCATAGAACCCACAGATGCAATGTCCTAGAGCTTATTGGTAATGATTGAAAGTTCTTTGGCATGAAAAATTACTTTTGTCATCTTGGGCTGAGCTGTAATTTTTCATGCTCCCATTTTTGTGGTAGTTGTTATCTACACTTCCATTTTGATTTCAAAATTGCAGTTTGCAGACTGGGTGTCCATCATTATCCATAGAGCTTGTGTGTGTTTGCCTCTCCTGAAATCAAAACCAGCAAATCATGGTAGTGTGAGTGCCCAGTTGAATTAGTGAATGGGCTTATTCCAAACTGATAATGGGCAAAACCTGTTGGGCTATGTGCATTTTGTCAAGATGTGAAAATTGAGACAAAGGTATGGACAAAAGATAGAGTGGATCTGTACTTGTATGAATAGATAGAATACACCAGTTGATTGGTCAATTTCACCTGGTCATCAGGTGGTCTTGCCGTCATAATCAATTGCATCATGAATACATGTACACTAATCTATGTGTCTGCGATGTAATATATGGGTAATTCCAGAAACTAGGGGTCCAAAAGTGTGACATTTTGGTGTCCCTGTTACATCTGACCTTTGTTATTTGACATGGAAATATCACCAGAATTGATTTCAAGCTCTTACTATTTGTTTGGCAGGTAATTTGCATTAATTCATCACTCTTGGAAATTAGAAAATGTGTTCTGAACTTACAAATCATACGTCAGATGTGACAGGGACACGAAAAATGGACCCCTGATTTCTGGAATTACACATATCTTTGTTTCAATTTCCAGTTGCCAAGTGGACAGTGAGTATTCGAAAACTAGCCCAGCACATGGAGAGATTTCCACGGGTAAGAATAACATTTTTAACACTGTACCACTGCTTTCTGTACATGTATACTGACTGAATAGCTAACTATTTAAACGCTGAAGTACATGTAATTTTGCACCATCTCTGGAGGTCCAAAATTTCTGTGGTTTTAGAACCATAACTGTTATAGGCCATTTTGTTTAGACCCACTGTTAGGTAATAGTTTACACCGGGGATATTATAGTACAAATTTGCTTCATCTGTAATTCTCAAATTATTCATTTATAGCTCGATACTGCTTGAAACCTTGGCAAATCTCAGTGCGCCATGTTCCACCATGGCTCCATCGAGTGTAGTGGCAATCATCTTTTGAAGCCCAAAAACTTGATTTGCAGAGACCTCATTTGTTTGTGCATGACGGGCCGTGCCAATGCAGTTAGTGTAGAGATAAGTGCATTATACCAAATTCTTGCAACATTGGATCATTGTTGGGAACTTAGAGTGTACCAGTACTGATCTGCCAAGAAATATGGAAGGGCTGCGTAGCACCGTGATCAGAATATCGATGAGAATATAATATCAAATCAGTGCTCTGAAATATGTGATTGCCAAGCTTTCGGTAACTGAGTACCTTCTTCAGGGCAGGCAGATCTGGCCAAATTCCTCCTGAATAGTTTCTGAAATAGATGGACCTTTGTTAGTTGTAGTGTGAGAATGATTTCTCTTTTTCCTTTTCTCTTCTTTCAGTAGTTATGGTGTGAATGATTAGCACTCAAGAGTGGATTCATTGTATTTTAGATGGCAGCATTCTTTGAAATGAGAACGAATTGGCTCTTACAGTAATTTCCTGGGGAATGTCGTTTGTATTTGGAAAGTTACTTGATAATTCCAGAAGTGATGTTATTATTGGGTATTGCTGCGTGGGAACCATGGAATGAAATGTGATTTGTTTGAATGTTTGCCACAGGATAAGAGCAATAAGCAAAAGTTGCTGATACTGATCGCCCGCCGCCGCAAATTCATCAAGATCCTCCGCAGAAGGAACTTTGACCTGGCCAACCGCCTCTTGGACAAGCTGGGTCTGGAGTACACCCCGCCACCACGCTACATCAGACGGGTGACCAGGCGGTCCCTGGAGAAGAAGACGGTGGTTGAGCAGGCCTTCCAGGAGCGACAAGCCGCGCTGCGAGAATTTAAAGACAGAGTGAAAGAGGAACAGCTGCAGGAGATTGCGGCGCTGAAGAAGGAACTCGGGATGGATCTGACGGAGGCAGAGATGGGCAGACTAAGGCAGGATGGCACATGAGGCAATGGGCCCTTGTCATACAGGCATTCTAGTTCAGTGAAATCAGTGACCCTTATGGCCGAGTGACATCGGTAGATGACGTGAATTTGATACAAAGTGGCAAAGACGCTCTCTGTATTCTTCAGAGTTGAAGTGTAGCCTTGTCATTAGCATTTGGGGATTCATGACAGCAAGGTCAGGTGTCCTAACCCAGCTGCTAGCTATGTACTGTGTTGACATTCATCCAAGAGACTAATCACTGTCTAAAACAGGTACAGCAAAGAGCATCATCCCTTGCACCTCTCTACTGTATCAGTCACATAACTTTTCCTAGGATCACTTGATTTCAGGGTTTTGCTCCCCCCCCCCAGAATGCCATTCAGAAGCTGGAAAGTAATGCAGTTTAAGTGCGGTTCTTACTTGGTGCATTTCTTGATGTGAAATTTGCCTCAATTTTGCAATTGCCTAAAGCGTGAACTGACCTTTATACTGCTTGAACTTTTCTCCTCTCTGTCAATGAGGTGTACATGTGTATGTATGTCAGCATACAGGTGTGCACATGTACTTCTATTCAACAAGTAACTTGCAGTCCTTACAAGGCAGTTAACACTAACGCCTTGGACAAACCAAACGTCCTACATATGCCTAGTTGCAAATCTATGCCCATTCAGCCAAAAATATGAAACGCCAGGGAAAATATTATTAGGTTTGTTTACAAATTCTTCAACTCATTGGTGGAACTGGAAATCACAGGCCTGGGGGTGGGCAAAAATTGTGCTATTTTTTCGTGTAACTTTTTATGACCTTTCTGAGGCACGAGGCTCTGTAAATGGGCTTTTTGACATGCTTTTGGGAGGAAATTATAAAATGAATCTAAAAATAATATCCTATCATTTTCACAAAAGCATTTGCCCTGTGGAACCGCTCTTGCTAGTGATTGATATTTTTGAGTGTTGACATTTCTGAATACGTACATTCATTTGTTTGAATAAAGAAGCATTAATTACAGATGAGTGTACGTGTATGCAAAGTCTTAATGATTCAGCCTGCTAGATAGTTTTGTAGGAATTCGGTAAATATTAACTTTTTTTGTAAGATTTTCATCACCAATGGCAACTTTTGTTATTGGAATGGCAGAAATAAAGTTGAAGGGACCATATGTACTCACATGTTGAAACAAACTTGGTCCACATTTCCTGAAGAAATTGTCTCCTTTGGAAGGCCTCCTCACAAAACAGTCAAACACTCCACTCATTCCTTGAATATTTTTGATACATGAGTCTCGCTTCCCAAATCAGGTCAAATGTTTTTGAGGTATGACACACTGGAGTTTTCATACAAGTAGCACTTGATTTGAACCATTCTTTAATTGACCATAAAAATGTACAAAGATGATTCAGGCAATAACCAACAGCATGATCTCCAAATATAATTCACTTTGTTTACTGTTTAGAAGAAAAATATGTACAAAATGGCTACATTTATTTCATCAACTCAAAAGCAAATACCGAAGGGGGTAATAAACATGAGTTTTCCAATAAAACCTCTTCAGCAAAGTCATCATTGGTACGATAAGCTTTTACTTTCTTATCAGAATAAAAAATGCAGGTTACAGGAACATTCAAGGGTGGATAACCACATACAAAACTTGTTGCGGGTTTTGTAAAAAACCCTAAATTCAGGCAACTTAAGAAGTTATATATCTGCCCTATTAACCACTTGAAATATTTGTACGACCATCAAAAGTCTAGTTACATATGTTTGCTTGGTATTAGACAACTCGTGTTGCGTTTGTAGACGAAACCATTGACCATGATCACCTGAACGCTATCAATGGTCATCTGCAGTGGCCCCCATCAATGGTGATCAGCATTGTGATATCTATTGTACAGAGCCACTGTTCCTTGATGCTCCTTATAAAACCCAATACAAAGCTTTCTGCCATTAAAGGCAGCAGTTAGAAAGGTCCTGTGATATATCGCTGGCTTTGTCTACAGGTTCAAGAACCACCTTCACTGAGCAGTACATTCTCTGCGATCCCAATTGTCAACTTTTTAAACGGGACAAACCTTGACAATACATTTTACATTACATGAATATGTAGTAGCACGAGTTGCGAGTCCAAAAGATTGGTTACATTCTTTTGAAACCACATCTTCTGGTATAAATCTGTTAACGGCAGGTCCAGAGAGGAACACAGGCAGTATGCATGCCTCTAATTTGAAAAATTAAAAAAAACAAAAATTATATGACCGACCTTATGTTTTTCTGCTCTCTCTTTTCTACTCTAAAAGCTTTAAAGACATAAATTTACAGCTGAATAAGAAACAAGTAAAAACTGCACTGCTTGTCTTTGGATTTTGACTCCATTTTGGTCCCCCCCTTCCCTTGTCCATAAATACCAAGTGCAAACCCTTTTCATAGAGGTGAGCGAAGTGGCTCTTTTACTCCCCTTTCGTCTTCACCGCCCAGGTTCAATAGTCCCCCTTGGCCGACGTGATTAAACTTTTCATCCCTACCCAGACTATTCCTCTGGGATTTTCCTCCCACCTCGAAAACTGTTACTGCTTCTCACTGTCTCCTCTCTACAGGTTTCTTCAGGCTTGCGAGCTACAGTGCAAAGAGTGCACTTTTGAAGAATTTTTGGTTTCATGACCAGAAATGTTTCATTACCCGTGTAATAAAGTTACAATAAATTCTGGATCTACTGCTAACTTCACATAAATTCTCATTGCAAACTTGTATCAGATTAATATGCTTTGCCACATTCCCTGAACAGATCCTTAATGCTGGACATACAAAAGAGATGTTTTAAGCACTTTATATTTCAGCAACTTATGGACAAAAAATGAAAAGCTACTCATAAACTGCTAGTGAAAAAATTTTAAACTGCAGCCAAGAGCAAATTTATCTAAAGAAAAGAAAACTGAATTTTTTTCTTTTTACAGAGAAGCGATTACGCTTGTCTCATCCAATCAAATTCATGATCAATAACTTTCACTGATCTTCCATACATTGAGATGCACACAACATGGTTTGTTATTCAGCATTAACCAGTGTTAGTTTCCACCAGTTGTTTGACAGGCAGGGTACCGGTTACAGCCTTCTTGTGTTATGCATCTTTTGTTTGCGTTGCACCTGGGCTCGGATGATGTCCAACTGGGCTCGTAGATTCTTGTGAACCTCAAGCAGGCTCTCCTATGGAATGGAACAAAACAGCACAGTGGTTGCTGATGTACAAAGTACTTACAGCTGAAGTTCTATGTAGTGTAAATAACGCTATGTATCTGATTATTCGATGCAAAATCCACATAAGAACGATGTGCCGTACAATTAACCATAACCCATATCTGCCCACAGAGCACATAGTACATCCAGGTCGAGTTCGGGCGGCCTATTCTTGACACGGGTTTCTTTATCTTGCGCTCGAATGACGGGAACACGACTCAAGAACACTGTTCTCAGAACAGGATCACACCCCATCTCCTGGTCAGGGTTTTACAGGAACACACGGAAAAACCCGTGAGATTTTGATTTTTGAACAGCTGCAAGAAGTAGAGAGATGGCTTCAAAAGCCATAGACAATGGGAAGTTTTGCAAAATTAACATTAATTATTTTCCGTAACACAGAAATGAATGTTCCTGTTTATATAGAAAAGAATTCAGCCCATCCAAACATTAACTCTCGAATAACGTAGTCTACATGGACTCCGCCATGTTGCATATTTCTTGTCACTAATTACCAGCGATAACCGGTTATTTGTTCCCGGCATTCGAGCGGCCGACCCACGAACAACAAATCAAGCTGTTCGTGAACATACGGGAACAAGCCGCCCGAACTTGGCCCCAGAGATTGTAAGTGTTGAGAGAATGACTTTACTCATGTATGGCAGGCAAGCACTTGGTGCACTGGCCACCCACATTCCTTCAAATAAGCTTGTCACAGGTATGCTGTTCCAAGTAATGCTTTATACAATCAAGTTAGTAGTAGACCTGAGTTATTGAATTGTCAGCTAATGTGGTACATTTCCAGAGTTGGTGATACTCTGCACCTGCTTCTATTCTGAGTGATCAAGTTTTTATCTTTCCTTTGAGATGTTTTCTCAAACATTCTGAGCATTATCCAACTGTGCACTGTCTCAAGGGTGTGTTTCTGTCAACCATAAGTGGTGGTGTTGCAGTATACGCCAACAACCTCATTCAAGAGAGGTTGGGGGTGTTGCAACACCTCCCTGCCCGATTCTGGGCTTTTCCCCACCTTTTCTTTGAGTAGTTCATTGTGTTCCTCAACCATCCTGAAGCTCGCTTGCTGGTCCTTCCAATCTTGATCCAGCTCATTTGCAAGTTCTTTCCTGCGAGGAATGGAGAAAAGCCAGACAGGTGAAGTCATTGCATGTAGGTGTACAAGATTAAAACGGGTTTGTTAGGGGTGGGTGGAAAGGATAACGAAACACGTACAGGAGAGCTGCAACAGAGAATAAAGCATAATATGATGGATTTGACGAATTTAATGTTTATTAACGGAAATGAAAACTTATTCTCTGAGGCACCAGTATTTTCACAAACTGTGTTTTTGTGTGAACTTTATGTCACGGCCCTTTAAAAACGGATTTCATCAGTGCCCCTAACACTGACCAAAAATCCTGCACAGGCTACAAAGAATGACCTGTCAATTTTAGGGGGTAAGCCAAGTGACTTCCAGTTTCTGAGGCACCAACTCAATCAAGTAGGGCCAGATAAACAGCATTGAGTAACTGGTGGGATTCGAGGCAGGCACCAAAAAGTTGGAACAAAGGGTTAATACCACTTCTTCTAGTTTTAACCCTTTGCTTTCTTGTATTGTGTTTTCTTGGCAGAGTACAACCATTTTTTTTTCCTTTTCAAATTTCGACTCATGGTGGAATAAAACCAAAGATCGCATTGGCTTGAATTAAACATGACTGCTATGATCTGGGGAACATGGAACAACTTTTATTGCATTGTCCCATCCACAATGCACCGCCTAATATGGCTTAATCTGTGTTTGAACAGTGGTAATCTCGCCAGTTACACGTATGTGTCCATTCACAGGCCATATATTCCTGTGTATGTAGCAAGCACTGAAGATATGTAAAAAGCACAGAAGTAACGACAGGCGAGCAGTGACTAAGGATGGTCTCTGTCACCGTTCCAATGAACTTGTGACTTGAGAGCCGGTATGATTTGTTAGCAGTTTGTCTTTGACTTGTGACAGCTTGATCACAACCCTGCAAATTTCATGCCAAAATTCCAATCAAATTTGAATCAGTTGCTATCAGGAAAAATCTGCCTTTACAAATAAAGAATTCCAGCCCATTTTTTTGTTCAACTGTTTCCTGGTGGCAGATTCACCGTCATTAATCATGACTTTTAAACTAAACCATGTAAACGCAAACCTCCAACCATTAAATCCACTAACAATTGGAAGAATCCAAACCACTGCAGACTATTAGGGTAACTAAATGACCAAAAGCTTACTTCCTTTGATGGAGTAGAGCTACCTCGGTCTGCACTCTGACTAGTTCCTGGGCCGCCTGCAAGACAGAGAAGATTAAATGCATTTCTAAATAATGCACTATTAACAAACCAACCCACGAGCCCAAGCCAAAAACAATCACTGACAAGGAAACTGACAATTAAACTATTTGTATCTAGTTCACGGGCCACGGACTCTAGGCATGAACGATAGAAAACAGATTGTACAGGAGGGACACTCCACTATTTATGCACATACAGAACATGTGTTGAAACAGGGCAGTAGGGGTGTCACATGTTCAGAGTCCTCACAACACTGTGATCATGTGACACTAGGTACGTCTGTTTTCAACCAAACATGGCTTGCATGTACTTCTGACAATGTGTGCTAAATTCCCTTTTAGAACTTTAGAAGCATCCACAAGGCCATTGTTTATTCAGTGTATTCTCTCTCATTGTCAACTTCCAGGAGGTCCTTGTGAACAGACTCTGCAATACTCACCATTCACTTTCCTTTAACTTCATATCTGTGATGCATTTAGTTAATATACGCTACTGTGTCCCTTTTGATTTCATTCTTTTTTACAAATTCAATTTACTTGCTTTGCACAACAATTTTCTGGTTGAGAATTTGTGTGCAAAGATCCAGTTTGACAAAAGAATGCCTTAAAAGATCTGAAGTAATGCATGACGTAAAACTGACAGAACTGTAACAAAGTTCAGGAGACACTTAGTCTTGAAACTGCACGCACTATCAATTCAAGCTACAGCGGAATTATCACGTCTTAGATAACGGCATCCATCATTCCAGATAACACTTGCTTCCAATGAGAGAAGGCGTAGAGGCAACCCACCTGCCGATGCTTGTCAAAGATCTCCTGGGACTCGCTTGAGTTGGGATTTGGTAGTAAGGGCTACGAGAAATACACACGGACAAGTGAGACATGAGTGTGAATGCAAGTCTTCCAAAGTGGCTCTCTAGCAATTATGTATTGACATTACTGCTCCAGTTTATTAGAAACAAGAAGCACCAAGTATGCAGCCGCAAATGTGCCTGATAAGAGACATCCTCTGGTAGTTTTGGGCAAGTTTCGAGGCAGCACTCAAAAAATGATACATGCGGAGTACTATTATGGTAACAGCCATTACTGACAACTTCAGAGTGGTGATGCCACCCTTACATGTAATAAGCAGTTCCAACAGCATTTCAGTATTCTGCACTTAGAGACTTAACCCTAAATGAGTTAATTTGGCCCATCTCAAACCGGGGGGGGGGGAGGAGAGAGATTCCACCCCCTCAAGAGCTCGGCTGTGCCAAGCCTGATTTCTCCTTATCATTACAAATGTGAAGGTTGAACTTAATCAGGCGTATCGTTTTGTTGTTACATTCATTTGAAGTTCATGGCTACATGCGAGCCAGTTCACGCGCATTGAACACCACAGTGGGAAAAGTGTACATTTTTGGTTGTACCATCTCGGGAAAATGCCCGCTGCGCTAGAGAAACGTATGTTCGATTTTTGCAAAAATGGTGTCAAAATGACTGAAAAGAGATACTCCAAAAAGTCCTGAAGGCTCAACTCCTGAAAAAATGCACTGGGGCGATATCAGAAAACTGTCAAGGGAGGGTTGGGGTGAAATCCCCTCCCAGCTCTTTTAGGGTTAAAGGGTCCATAAGTAAATTTTGCACAGAAACTTGTTTGCACAATATCGTACTACTCTTAAATGTGAGCAAATTATCGGCTATCTCTCCATGGTTTCTGTCTCTGAAAAGTACACTTTTTGAAGTTCTAAAAATGTTCATGGTTTTTCCCGACAAACGAGGGCAGTATTGCTGTGAGACCATTAGAGGAAAGCAATTTCAGTTTGAGGGTTTTCTTTTCAAATTGTGACCTCAAAATTTGCTCATAGAGAATACTTACGAGAAAATGTATCGGTAGCTCATGAGCCTACCTTTGAGGGTTTCCTTTTTAAATTGTGACCCCAAAATTACAGAAACAACAATGGATCTCTATAGTAAACAAATGTTGTGATAGCTAAATTGCCGAATTTCGGGGAAATTTCAAATCAGACATACATGTACATGTACAGTAGCTGTAGCTCTCAGATATCTACCTTGGATAAATTGAAAATCACCTTAAACGGGAAACAAAAAGGCATCCACAAGAACTGCATTAAAACACTGCTGCATTGTAGTTGCATTATGGGCCTTTTTAAAGAAAAAACTTTAAAATTTTATTTTAAAATTTGCCTGCCAAGCAACATCCTTAGACCAGTTTAAACTGCTATGCAGAATTTAGCAAAAATTATGTTTACTGAAGATCACAGAAAAACATTCACAAAGTAATATTTACATGCATGTATGTATGAAACTTTTGAACATAGTGACTCCCTTACATTGGCCTGGGGCCACTTTCATGGCTCTGCTCAATAAGATTAGTCAAAAAAAAGGGGTGCTAACCTTTTTTCATGGCCTGGACCTGATCCTGCTTGTGCAGGCAAGAAGACTGCTGTTGTAAGATTACTTTTTAAAGCAATTTGTGTCTGTCAAGTTTACAATAGCATGCTCTCTGCTGCATTGCTTCATATACGATGTCCACGTAAAATGGATGGACCATGTGCCTGGTAACCATCGCACAGTGCAAAGTTCAATTGATACTGGACCTTCTAAATTACATATACCCTAGGCAAACTTGACTCATCAATAAGCACTCGGTTTATTTGGGTTATTGCATTTTTCATGCCACATGGAATTCATATTTTTAGTAACAACTTTACAACTGCATTCAGGTCAATGCAAAGGTCTTGTGTTGTTTGGACCAGTTAAACGCCTCCTACCTGAAGGTGATGATCCAGTGTCATGTAGGCCATCGGTATCACCGTTTCCTCTTCAAATGTACCTACAACAGAACGGCATCAACACAGCAAAATGCTAAAGCCAACAGCTGTAAGTACCATGCAACGGCTGGATAATTTGTTTGGAAATAAAGGACAAACGAACATTCAACACAACGTGCTGAGATGCCATTATGGGGTGTGGTGACCATTTTAATTGACGCAGGAACTCTGCTCTACTGCTTTTCACCCGGAACTTGTCGGTTATGAAACTCAGGAGCAAAACCCCATTATTTCTCTTTGCATTTCTCAAAAAAAAAAAAAAAATAGCTGTTGGTTCAAGTACACTGTAAGACTCACTACTGACAATGGAACCACAGCAGGAAAACAGGAAACGGAAACAGCCCAGATGTCATGCAACAGTTCTCAGGCACCAATGAAAATCAATGTTGCTGGACCTGTATTGGTTGCCGAAAGCACTAAACACACAGGTGCACAATGCAGAAATGGTATACTGCTCCCATCTTTGATTTCTCAAGTTTCCAATTATTTAAACACGTGCTTCTCTCATCTCTTGTCAAATCTCATGTCAAGGTGTTTGCTGATGAAAAGTTTTAGCTACCATGCAAACCTTGAGAGATTGGTTTTCATTCATTTTCAGTACCAAGTAAACTAAATCAATTCTTTGGCATTATCAAACGGACAAGGAACTTGCTCTGCGGAAATAAAAAATTCAAGAATCTCATAACAGGACACCTTAGCTTTAATTTTAAGTTTCATTTCAACAGGAGCTTTTTGTTTTAAAAACAATGCACACGCAGTTGAAAGTTTGCGACGTGAAAAGCTTTGATTAAATCAATATGATTGTGAAGCAATGTTAGGGTCGAGGCCTGCAACACTGAACGGGAATAGTCGACATCTCGATGAAACAATAAGTACCATTTTGTGTGTGACTGGATATGGCCAAACATAAAATAGTTGTGTTTCCTAATATACCAAAAAAAATAGTGCAGATTGGTGCGTAGGGTTTTCACTGGCTGTAATTTTTCTTGCCTGCAAAAGAGATCACGGTGGTGTCATGGTCAGTTAATTTGAGTGACTATGCATTTAGCATTAACAGGGTCAGTTTTTATAGTAGGCCCCACACATGAATTTGTTGATAGCATAATGTGAGTGTTGCATATCACTGGTTGAGTTGCCTGACCTTACTAAGATGATTGTCGTGCCTCATTCACGATAGCAAGGCCCTTTTTTTCAACCCAACCAACGTGAACATAATTATCGATCAATTACAGAACACACCAAAAATGGCTCGTGGGTTGGTACCATGTACGTATGACTTTTTATTTTCTAGCAATTAAGTTTTTCTTAAAAGCACAGGCATAGGAAACACAACTGCTCTTTACTTGGCCTTATCGCTGCATGGTGTGGTATAGCTATAAGAACTAACTACACAAAGCAAGTGACAAGATGACAACCTGAATGGTTCCCCTCACCAGAATGCTTTTGCTCCAGTGAAATGCTACGCAGCGGACGGTCCCCTGGTCTGGTCTGTGACGTGACCCCAGTGTCGATACCGATCTGGGACAAGACTGAAGTGGAAAGACTGTTTGAGTTCAGGCGGGCCAGCGACAGCTGGTCTTCGGAACTCAGGTACGTACCATCATCAGAGTTGGAGCGCTGCTTGTAGGGGTCAAAGGCACTGAGGTGGCTGGGGGCCGTCACCGAGTGGGGAAGGTGACTGGAATGGGGCCGCTGAGGGGGCACTGGCCGGGGTGCCGAGGAAATGGTGATGGTTGGGGAGACGGGTTGTGTGACGGTCATCGGGGAGGTCGGCTTGGGTTGGATAGTGTCGGGGAGTTGGGTGGGGATATCGGTGAAAGCTTCGATCTTGCCATGGGAATTAGAGCGACGATGGGTGTGGACAGTGGTGGTCTCTGCGAAATAAAACACCAAAAAGCAAGCAGAAAAAACTCACTTAGCATGCATATTACCTAACATGGGAACTAAAAACTGGCCATGCAAGTAGTAGGTATTCAACGCCATGTTAACAAAGCAAACCATACCATAACATTCCAAAGTTCCCTGAAGTCAAATCTGATCTTGCTTTGGTTTTTAACCTCTGTATATGTAGTACCATGTCACAAATATCATTTGAAAATGAACAGCTGATTTACACTTTAGAAAACCTGGGCACAATTTCATGGTGCTGCTTGAAAAGCAGAAAATTTTCTGAACCATAAGCACTATTTCATGATGGTGCTTGGTGTGGTTGTGTTTACGGTGGTGCTTGTGTAGAGATTTCCATTATTTGAATTCTACATTAAGCAAATTTTTCCTCAATGTCAGCGAGCCTTTTGCTGTACATGTACTTACTGCTTACGGTCTCCGTGAAATACACAGACTCTGTTACATAAAATTGTGTGCTGAGCAGTGTCGTGAAAATTGGGCCCCGGGCCAGTGTTTCGGTGCATAGTTTATATATTGAAAATGATAGTCTCAAAATATTGACAACACTGTATATCCTAGCCCCGAGGTTCTGTGGAGTGTCCTAGCCCCAAGGGTCTGTGGAGTGTCTTAGCCCCAAGGGTCTGTGGAGTGTCCTAACCCCAAGGGTCTGTGGAGTGTCTTAGCCCCGAGGGTCTGTGGAGTGTCCTAGTCCTGAGGGTCTGTGGAGTGTCCTAGCCCCAAGGGTCTGTGGAGTGTCTTAGCCCCAAGGGTCTGTGGAGTGTCCTAGCCCCAAGGGTCTGTGGAGTGTCTTAGCCCCAAGGGTCTGTGGAGTGTCTTAGCCCCAAGGGTCTGTGGAGTGTCTTAGCCCCGAGGGTCTGTGGAGTGTCCTAGCCCTGAGGGTCTGTGGAAGCTCAATTTTGGAACTGAAAAACAGAAAAGATGCAGAATTTCCACAAAAATCACAGCATAATTTTCCCTGGATGACATCACAGCAACAGCACCCTCAGGTGTCCAGAAAAGCTAGGATAATTTTAGATGTTCAAAAAAAGTGCCCTTTTCAGCGCATTTAACCAAGTAGGAGGAACACTGAAGAGTTTTCATACATGTACATACACATGCAGAAGAAGACAACGTTACAGAAAATTGTGCCTAAGAAAAATTTGTTGCGGCTACCATATCTGTATACTTTAAGGGTGACTGACTGACCAGTGAAAACATTTCCATATGACTTTCCACTGTGAAAAGTTGAAGTTGATTTAAGGGTTGATCTTTTGCAATCCTAATCACATAAGGCCAAATGTAGAAACACTATAAAAACCAGCCTACTCTGCAGTCCTGTGTCACCATGTCACATGAGCATGAGTGAACTATACATGTATGTATGAGAACAATCTTGAAAATGATTGTCTTCCGACCCCGTCCTCCAGGTTAACCAAACCTCAGCTATCCATGCATGACTTGGACTTTTTTTATGGATTCAGAATTATTCAAAACCTTTAGAAATGAAATAGACAATACCCTAATTGTTTTTAATGTGCATGTACGTGTATTATTGGGACATTTGATGGGTATTTACAGTAGCAACATAGGGCTTGAAAAGATTTAACATACAACGTACTGCATATTGTGGTGTGTGCTGCAGCAAAGGTAAATGCCAGAAAGATCCAACTGGGGTACCTCCTCAAATACTGTGCAAATAAAAGGTGCCATTTTGGTTTTAAAAAATGTATCGTAGTTGAATTTTAATTTACAATTGGCTGTCCATACAAAAATGTTTATTAAAAAAATTCTGTAGACATATATATATGCTGTGTGTACAGATAATCAATTTCTTAAAAATGAATAATAAATCATGTAATACGGGCGATTCACAATAGTGCGCCACCAAGGGTTTGCAATGTGTTGGCCAATCATAACGCACAAAATTTGTCGACCCTTTCCCAACGTGCACTGGGTCAACAAATTTCGCGCACTGTGATTGGCCAACGCGTTGCAAACTCTTGGTGACGCACTATTGTGAAACGGCCCTCTTTTTGTATGTATATTGAGCTGGTGTATCCAAACAAGGGTCTTCAAATTTAAAGTTGGAGTCTGAAGGTGAAATTGAGAATAGCGTTGAGGTTTGGTAAACCTTGCGCATTACCAGTACTGCCATTGGTGTACACAATCTTCCAAAATCATGTTTGTAAAGGGTATACATGTACGTGTACTGTGTAGTGTTAAATTGTCGTCACTGTTTCTTCGCACATTGCAAAAGACCTACTGAGTTGATATTTTGTCAGGCTAGTTTGACACCATTCAACATTATCATTTATAGACTGTGCAAAATCTGCATTTGTATCGCTGTCATTCGGTGCCATAAGTCCTTGAACTGAGCAAATGGTCCAATACTGGCCTCAACATTATATTGTTCATGGAGTGTAGCTACGTAAGGATTCACATGAAAACTGAAGCAAGCACGGTGAATCCATTTATGCAAGTCAAGTCCAAATAAAAACATTAGTCAGAACAAAAAGTCAGTTATACAGCACAAGTGCGGTAATTTACACACAATGATGAGTCCCTTCTGAGATGCATGGCAACATACCAAATAAAACTATACCCATTAGAATGTTTCCATTTTCAAAAAAAAACAACATGATTTGGAAATCCCATATTCCAACTTGAGACTCGGGACAAACCAACAGAAAAATCATGCATGGATTTCTGGGGAGGGAAATAAGTTATCCTGATCATGTCTGATCGTGGCAAGGGTGCTGCACCATTTTAGAGAATACACACTACATAGCAAGACCAGTCTGCTTGTCTGCCAGTGATGAGTGTGTGGCAAACTGACCTGCAGCGCTGGACAAGAGCACAACAAGTTCCTGTCCAAATCATGTCTGTGGACAAAATTCACGGTGCATGGCATAATGGGCCAAGCAGCCAAGCTCATGTACATGTACTTGTCAAGCTCAACAGACATGTTACCAGCCAGATTGCCGTGCATTTTCAATTGCTTGCGCCTGGCTCCTGGCTGATTAAGTTCTGAGACATCAGGAAAAGGGAAATGAGGCTATCGCATAAACTGGCTCAGGGAAAACCCAGCGTTCTTATACGGTACAATGCACACGTACATGCACCATACATGCACTGTGTGTGCATGTATGGTGCATGTACAGAATGTAGAGGCTCATTCCAAAGGAGACTGTTGACAACTCTTGAGCATTTCCCATTTTACCATCTCCCTGACAGGAAACTTTTGGTGTCAACAGATAACATAATCAGATTGAGTCTGCTTTATTTGGGGGGGGGGGCAAAGTACCGTAGGGACAAGAAGAGAGAGGGTTACCCATCTAAATGTCAAAGTGAGGCGTGCACGGTACACGATGCGTATGTTGAGCAGTTCTCTTAATAACACTGTTAGAATGCTTTTTTCTTCAATGAGAAGACCATTATGCAGTGCAGATCTTTGGTTGAAAGCACCCTCACAGATCAGACCTGAGCAGTTTTCAATCAAGACCCTTGATTTACACTACCTGGTAGGGTTTTATAGAGTGGCCATACAAACCCATGGTTAGCAGGTTTAGGAGTAGCTGATACATGTGGCAATAATAAAAACAGGGATGAACAAGGGAGAGAGATATAAATTCTGTTAAAAGTTACTCGATTGCATAACAATTAGATTATCAACAGAACAAGGAAGCCTGTACAACAACATTAGGAACTGTGAAAGGATTAAAGTAGAATAAAACTGGATTTGAGTGAGAGACCACCAGATTAGCTGTGTCAGTATGCTACCAATTTGCAAGATCAATCGTTCATCTTTCCTTCTCCAGAGTTCCATTTGAAATGGTAAATGAGAAATGACCTAGAGTGGCCCCAGCTGACTTGACAAAACAGCGAGTAGCTTTTAGCATCTCTAAAACAGATTTCACGGACGCACAATATGCATGTGGTATTGTATCACACAACTTCGACGAGGATGGTCGCAGCCTTTATGGCACTTACAAAAGCACCTGTTTGTGTCCGATTTCACGACATTCACATATGGGGTAGCTTTATGGGGTGGGGACTGACAGGGGAGGGTATGGGAAAGGAGGGGTTGGTAGGACTAGGGCAGGGTTTCAGGATGAAGGATGAGGCAAGGTTGCATGGGGAAGGAATCAGGCGAGATCTCCAGGCACCTGCTTGCCTGCACAGGTAGTAAGTTCCACCAAAAGTCAAATCATCAAATCACCAGTTTGTTCCATGTGCATAAAAAAGTCTCTGCATTAAGCAGCAGGAGATTAACAATGACTGAGGAGCATCTTTGCCACTTTTTACTTGAATGGCTTGTGACTTGACTTGAGACTTAATGACTTGCGTTGGGCTTTTGAGGAATTGACAACGCTTCTATCGCCAGATATTTCAGCGCACAGTAAACTGCAGGGTCACATCTTCTGCTTATATTTACATACATAAAATGCAGAGGTTGAAACTAAATGAAATTCCCTCGGGTCTTAGCTTTGAAAAGTTCAGAGGGTACTGGATTCATGCCAACTAGATTTGCCACATGATCAACCAACGCTCGCTAGGGTCTGACAAACTCCAAACATGCCCAAAATACCACCATTTGGCAGATTTGACTGAGGAGAGTGCAACTGTAAACAGAGGGGTTTCTTACTGCAACTTGCATAACGAGTGCTAAGGCATGCCACATTACTAGCAGTATCGCAGTCGACGCCATCATGCATGTTACAAGTCCCTACAAGTCCATCACAAGTCATGTACAGGTAGTCTGCAGCCAAGTCACAAGCCATTCCAGTAACTATGGCAAATGGTTCCATTGTCATTGTTCACCCCATTACTTATGACTGGTCTGGTGACTGGACTGGTGAAAGCAATTGATTACAACACTTGTTTCTGGCCTATTGAAAGTCATTCCATATGATTCATAGAGTATGTTGCCAAGGGAATACCACAGAGAGACCAGTTTGTGTAGTGCATAATGGGTAAAATGTTGAAAATAGCCAGCTTCGTAGAATTCCATTTTCACAAGAATTTGTTAGTTCTTATCTTGAATGGACACAAAGGAATCAAGTTGGAATATATTATATCTGCAGATACAACAATGACCTCTTTATCTATGAGGCTTCAAAATTTGTTTCTGTTTAATAGTGTGGTACTGCAGTTAAACAATGAACATATTATCATGCAAACTGTATTGTAGCATTGAAAGATTTGAAGCTCCTAGTTGAGCTAGGTCTCCAGGCAAATGCTTGGTGGAGCAGCACTGCGAATCACTTAAATCCACTGCTATGGAAGCATGTGGAGCTAGGTCTCCAGGCAAATGCTTGGTGGAGCAGCACTGCGAATCACTTAAATCCACTGCTATGGAAGCATGTGGAGCTAGGTCTCCAGGCAAATGCTTGGTGGAGCAGCACTGCGAATCACTTAAATCCACTGCTATGGAAGCATGTTGGCAACATACTTTGTAGACATGTCAATTTCTTCATGCATTAGACAATTCTATTTGTATCCAACTACTGCATCATGCCACACACTGGTACTCGGTCTACACAGAGAGAAAGTTGAAATTTATCAGACACGGGATGGTTCTTCACAAACTTACATGCCAGGCTGAAGTTTTGTCACTTTCTGCTGGATTCCTTTTCTTCATGAACAGTGTACCACAATATTGAATAGGGCTTAAGATTTCTTGTAAACTGAAACAGTTGGAATCGAACCTGCGTCCTCTGGACTGCAGGTCAAGGGGTTTCTGGTTCTCCACTACAGCAAAGTTACAGTATACACAAAATTTCTCTTTATCCTTCCGACAGTTACATTGTACATGTAGGTTTTGGCTGATCCTAATTTCGATCCAATTTTCTCTTCACAAGTTTCAAATGCAACAAACTTCAGCAGTTGCACCTTCCTGAATGCAACAAACTACAGTAGTGGATTTCGTTGCACTGTGCGGTGCACTGGAAACATGCCTGCCTTGACCTTACGCAGTCATGTCATGTGCCCTGCCATATGCAATGACTGCTGATTGACGTGGTGCCCAACAACTTTAAACCACCACTTGGCTTTAGTACAGTCAGGGCAATGCCATTTCGGGGTTGAGAATTCATTTGCGGGGCATACCTGTTTCGCCGCCTTCATCTGCATCTTTGGATCCTGTGTAGGCCAGGATGTCAGCCGAACGTCTCTTCAGCTCATAGTCAGGACTTCTCCTTCGGCCAGGCACTTCTGGTCTGAGTAGTTGAGTGGTCACAGTGGATGGCCGCTGTGCCTGAGTCATTGGAATAAAAAGAAAAGATACGAAAAAAGGAAAATGAAATTTTCAACAAACATGAAGAGTTTGCTGGCATCAACATTCAGCAGTACTGCAGTGACATTTCTAGATCTGGACGCAACATATATGCAACTTTAATGCCATGGAAGAGCAAGTACAAATACAGTCGTTTTCCTAGTTTAGGTAAATGTTGTAACATTTTCAAATGCTTGACATATGTGTATTGTTGCTTACCTAAATTTGGTACAAGGTGATAGCCCATTGGCTGGATGCAAGAGCAGGTGTTAACATTACAGAAGTTAAGCAATGCTAAAGGACGGCAGCACTTGGATGGGAAACCATCCTTATCGGCTTACTGCTTCTTAGATGTGCAACCATTTATTGACCACTGGTCGGTTTCCCTTAGTAATCTATGAAGAAACTATATCTGGGTACTAAGCAAGGTGCCAGTTGACTATGGGTCACTGATTGCACTTGGCCCTACTTTTTTGGGGGGGGAGGATGTTTCTGCCATAATTGTCTGCCTCCTGACTTCTTCAATTCAGTCAACATTTGTTCTGATCGCATGAAAACTAGATTTATGAGCAGAGGTTCTGAGTGATGTTTCTGGATGGCTGCACTGATCTGCCACTATCAGTTTTAAGGGGAACTTTTAAGATCCATTTTAGGGAATAAAAATTATTGCTAGGAGAAAATTGGCTAAAGTTCAAGCAATTTCATATAGGTCTGAAGATGTTTATGGATAACACTGCATTGATACCACTTTCTAAGAGTGTTTACGCTTGTGGATGTTTCAGACAGTGTAATAGTCGTTCTTCAGGTAGTCTCCACACATTCTGAAGAAATCAATATTCACAGATGGCATCACCAGAAAGACTACAATCTTAAGTTCACCCTGCTAATTGTCCCAGATTCTATCAATGTGTCGCATACTTCTTGTTGCTGCTGTGTGCCAGAATTCTCAGCTGCACTGATGACCGTGTTGTGTATCGTTGTGTTGTTGGTTGCTGTGCTGGTAGTTTGGTTTGTTGAGTAGGTAGAGTCCTGTGTGCGTAGTTCCCCTTCAACAGCTCCAAATGACGGCTTATTGGCTTCTAGAACAACACACATAGAAGCATCACCGTATGCCAGACTTGTGATAAAAAGCTTCCCGACCATTTCAATAAGCCCAAGTCAAATTTCACTTGTGCCAACTTGCCTTAACCATGCAATTCTTTTTAAACAATCTGCGTCATAGATCCTCACAAGTGCTACAGATGACATCATTGGAGTAACTTGGGAGTTCATCGATCATTTCACACAACCGTTCTTTACTAACAAAAGACTTCAATTTGGTGGTTCAATTTACAAACATAAATTCAAGGGTAAGTGGTGCTGGGGGTAAACACAGCAGGTTTGAGCGTTACACCAAGGCAATATTTGTAGGAAGGTTATCGCGACACTTACAAGTGGTCTCTTCAAAACCGATGCTTGTATGAACACAAACTTACCATAACCAAGACTTAGCAAAATTTTCCCTTCCTCGGTGAATTATGCGATTTCCTTATCTCAAATGACTACAAATTAAAAATGCAGCGATTCAAATTATATTTCCATTTTAAACCTATTTACCTGTGTCTGTTGTCTCATACCGCAGTGGCTGGTCATAACCACGGAAGTACTGGAGATAAATGTACAAAGCAAAACTCGTGGTTAAGTTTTTTAAACACTGTTGCCACAAGTTTGCTGTTGGGGATGGCAGAAAGAACAATCCTGACATAAAAAGAGGGGCATTTTGGTAAGCAGGCTAAAAAGTAAATGGTGAGGACACTTTTGCAGGGGGTGAAATTGGAGGAAAGTTAAATAGCCACGACATTACTGCTGGATGCTTTGAGGGCTCCACAGCAGCGTTCGGCCTACAGTGTACCTCTGTTTGCCCATTGGCACCCCTTAAAATACTTACAGTGTTCCACATAACTTTTTTGGACATGAACAGCCGTAAGTTTTAAACGCGGGATTTTTCCAGACTTTAAAAGAGACTGTTTGAAAATTCCTGAAATCGGTTAAATCCAGATGAATAACAATCCTGTAATCGGGAAAATTCCTGACAAATCTAACAAACCAATCTAAAGGAAAGTGACCACAAGCATTCTGTTGGTGCTGTACAAAGTAAAGGAACTAGTGCTTCATTATTTGCAATGTGAGTTGCAAGTGAAAGGACAGACGTCTTTGAGTGTGATCTCTCTGGCTACATGGTATAGATTTTCATGGCGTTAGACCAGCACCCTTTAATCACTTCACATATGGCTTGATCTGCCTATTTGGATGTGCTGGTGCTAATCTCCTGTTGTTTTGTACACACAATGTAGGAGGAGGTGGACCATGTGTTGAACTTTGAAAGTCAAAATTTTTGGTCAAAATAGTAATATCCATGATTGGTTAGGAAAGAAACTACCGTGCTGGACAACTAAGAGATGTACAGCACTTGTAACTGTTTCCGGGTTGTAGGTTCCAATAAGGTTCCTGAAGTAGGACATGCAAGTTTACCTTGATGAGATTAGACATGACTCCAACTACTTCCTCCATTGACGGCCTACGACGAGGTTCCTTAGCCCAACACCTGCATAAATTGCAAAGAAGGAAGAATTAATAATAATAATAATACTGAACATTTATAGAGCGCCAGTATCCGCCCCAAACGGCGTTCATTAACACTCATTTAATACAGTTCAGGTTTGAGAAAAGGGCATTGTATTCAAGTAAATCATTTAATCCAATATAATTACACGGTGCAGAGCTTTAAGACAAAATCTAAGCTTTCTGTTTCCTGCATCATTTTAAATCAATGAGATAAATAATATTTCATTCCAAACTATCAGGCTGGAATACTGTACTCGCCTTGTCATGAGTTTCTCTAGGGGTTTAGGAATGGAACGAATCATCGGCGGTCTTGTGCCTGTTACACAAATAAACATGACAAATAAAATGACACAAAAAACATCGAAATAGCAACTTGCGTAAATCTTGTCCTTGTAAAGTTGAATAAAATCTGTAGAAAAAACCATCCTTTGTCACCTAAGATTTATTGCATAGACAGCAATCTCACTAGTCAAAAGGACCACAACCAGTCTTGGAGTCTCAAAACAGAGGAACATTCCAAGCCTTCAATCGCTACGAACAAAGTTGAACGTACTACGCCAAAGCTTGATGTACGACAATGTTCTCTGTCCTTATTCCATCACATGGGTCAAATATTCAGAATCTTCCTTACACTAACAACCATAAGGTTCTTCACTTTCTTCAATCAACAAACTCCTTCAAACATGCATGGTCCACCATCATAATACTACATACATAGGGATATGCTTAGTTTCAATCTCGGAACTGAGACCCCGTTTGACGTTTCCATACAGTCCAGCACTTACTGCTGAAATCTGAAGCAAGACACAGAACCTTTTGCCATGGTCATGACAGTGCTACTCTCCTGGAATATTGTCCAAGTTATACTGCTGTCATTACACTCTTCAGAAGCAGAATTTATTTGCCAGGCATTCTTCGCGACACAAAGACAACACTTTATACAGCTCATTTTAACCCCTTTGGGAGACGGCAAGAGCCGCGGCTTTGTGTGAGGATGAGTGCATACCACACATACAGTCTATTCACCATGCAGCTGCTGGTTCAATGGGGCCTGCTGCTGGACAAAGCCCTCCATTCAGGGCAACCACAGCCCAGCAGTCACGGTCGAAGGAGTTACAGGTGCGAAGGGGTTAAGGGCTCCTGATTTAGCTTTGTTGTGCAATTTGTGAAGACAATGTCAGATAACAACACACCCCCTTAACAATTAATATCGACAAGAATATAATATCAAATCAGTGCTCCGAAATATGTGATTGCCGAGCTTTCAGTAACTGAGTACCTTCTTCAGGGCAAGCAGATCTTAACAATTAAGCTTGGAGCTCACCTTTTTAATCACATATTGTTATCTGGGCAAATGTGACAGTTCTATCACACACCTTTGAGGGATTCCTTATATTAGTACCACATGCACATACACTGGTACTGAGTATATTTGTAACAGTGATGACAAGAAAATAGACTGGCACCTCAATGTGAATTAAACCAGTGCTTCGATCAGTGCAAGACTATAACAGAAGTGAAAAACAAGAATGCAGGGTACAGCTTAAACCTTGACTTCTTTCACTTGACTGCACACATGATGGTGACACCAGTCTATTTCTTTATACATGTAGTCAAATTGAAGATGAGAAGAAAGATGTTTAAATCAGCACATCATAGTGATGATTAAAGCAGTGAGAATGCACAGCTGTGAGCAGATCATGAATATATGCATGAAGAGTGATCATGCTGGTCTCCTACCTTGGTGGACCGCCCACATGATGCGGAATGCCGGCCCGCCTATTTCATCAAAGGGTTTCCTCCTGGAGATGACCTCCCACAAGATGATGCCCCAACTGAAGACGTCACATTTCTCACTGTAATTACTCCCTACAAAAGAAAATGTGGCTTGAAAATCACACGGATACAAAGTTATAAGAGGGACGCGGGTCCTAGGACAAAAATTGTAGTGGTTGGAATGCAAGCATGCAACGGTTCAGTTAACAGAATAATTCCCAGGATGGAAAGAGGAATGCTCCCCCTATTTTAGAGGAATTTCAAACGTCGAGACCACCCTACCTTCAAATACCTCAGGTGCCATCCACGCTGCACTTCCCTTGTTGTTAGTCATGTATGTTTGGATATCACAGGCTGTACCAAAGTCACAGATCTTGAGTACTGTTCCGCCGGCCATAAGCAGAAGGCTGCAGAAACAAAAAATGCAATTCTCTCATTAAACAGCTCCTGCCCATACAACACTATAAAGTGTAGAGCTGTGCTTCCAACTTCTTGGACTGTCAGATGACTGTAAAACCAGGAACTGGATTATGGCAAACCTAGAAGTCAGTGCATTGGAATTTTATTAATCAAGAATTCAGACTTTCAAAACATGTTAAAAATGGCATTAGTCTTTTGGCTGTTTCACTTTAGCCTATGTCTCTAGACCCTACGACAGTTGTGCTAGGAACCTTCAAGAATTATCCGATAAAAAAACGCTGTGCATGAAACCAGTGACTTGAACATGATCTCTAAGCATGGCATGTACAGCAGCAAATATCACTCTGTAAAAGGCCTCCAAGTACCGCAAAGTTGAATGACAGAAAGCAGTGTTGTTCGAGTCATTTGTACAAATGACTCCCAACTATTTCAGCCTTGGCAATGGACTGCTGCCATGGTATCTGAAAATAACCGGTGCCCAAGGCTGCTTCAATTAGAAATAATAATAAATTGAGGGATTTTTACAGAAAGCACAGACTTACTTTGCTGGCTTGAGGTCTCTGTGTATGAGAGCTCTAGGCTTCATTGAATGCAGGTAAGCGACTCCTTTGGCGCACTGCAAAGCCCAGCTCATTGCATTGGCTGCTGTGTAGATGGCCTGGGGTGGGCCACCGTGTAAGATGTTATACAGAGATCCACCCTCGGCATACTCCATGACCAGGCAGACGGGGTTGTGTGTACAAGCACCGTAGAGGGTCACAATGTTGGGGTGACAGACGCGGGAAAGCTGCAGAACCTGGGAATATAGGCGCATGTAAAAAGGGAAGAAGCGTTTTTCCTTCGCTACAGTCCTAACTGCTAAATGCAGCAAAGTGGGCGAGGCAATTACAGCCAACAATTTCAATCCCCACGAGCAGCACACACAGTAACTGACAACAGTCTAGTGATAGCTATTGAAATGTTGACCAACAGCTCAAGCAGGAGGCTGCCATCTTTGTTAATAATGGTACATGTACATGTATGAAGATGTCTACCATGAGGTTGGGGCACAATTTGTGACGGTGTCCTTGTTAAATGTACACAGGTAACTTTTACCATCTGTCATGACCTGTAGAGTAGGTCATTTACTCGGTAAAAATAACACACATCTCTGTATTCAGCCTCGCAAGATGTATAATTTGGAATCCACATGCAGGGAAATAGCTGTAAATTTTTATGGAACCCTTGGAGCAATGGACACCATTACAAATTGTGCCCCAACCTCATGGAATGACCCATGTCCACCTGCCTATTGGACAAACAAGATCATGTCTGCTGTATTACGAATATTAGCTACTGCTTCTACAACTGGTAACACGATAAAGAAAACATACGCCCCATAAAATGATCAAGTGAAAGTAATCATTGCGGTCAGCATTGAATTTAGTTGCATGTAAGTTTTTCTCAGACACCCTGTGTTACATGTAGACTACAAAATTATTCACGACTACAGTGACTACCTTGAATAAAGACTACAGTAGCTACCGCTGCAATGTGATCATCTACATGTACATGTATGTAACTTGACAAAGCAATTTTAGCTCTTGTTTGGTAATCAAGGCTCATTTGCCATAGGTATTAGAATGACATGAAGACACTAGTCGAAATGAAAAGGTCTAAGGTACCCTAATGACTGGGTCCAGTGCATAGCATCCAAACACTAGCCCATCTATATCAGATTTCTTATACCTCAAATTTGTCAAGTGGACACTTTTGAAGCGACTGTTCATGTATATGCGAGTAAATCTGCAATAATTTCCTTTTGTATTTTGACAGATTCATCAAAATTCTGCCACGTGGTTTTGGGAAATTTAAGGGATGAAGGAAAAGATCCACCGATGCAGACTAATATGGCACCAAGAATTGGAAGCCGTAACTGGCCTGGCAACAATAGCCACGTTTGAATGCAGGTCCTATGCACTCCTCACAAGCCACGCCCACCTTGAGGGCTGGAGGGTGTTGTCACTTGCAACACTGCACATGTACACAAGGAAAGGAAAACAGTGCAGGCATGGCATCACCCAGATTAGGCTGATACTTAACGAAGATGATGTCCTATGAAAAGTAAATTCAACATAGCGCACGGCCAGGCATCCTGCAGTTAGCGTTAAAAAACTTACAGGCTAAATTGGAGGGTCAATGGTGTACCTCCAGTCGGGCCTTACCTCCACCCTGAATGCCTTGATTTCTTCCTCTGATTCTATCATCTTGACAGCCACGTACTTCCCTCTCCATTTTGCCTTGCTCACTACACCAAAGGATCCTTTGCCAACAACCTGAACAACGTGCATGAAAACCAGTTTTTCAAATTCCTTTCAAAGGGTCAGGAAAACCCACAAACGGACACATACATGGCTCCAGCCTGCTCAACTACAACACCGTCTTACAGTGGCAAATTAAACTTCCTATAATGTAGGAAAAGGTGAGTTGGACGTCCTTACAAAAAGCAACCTGCAGATGTATATGTCCTCTGACACGTAAGTAGTGAGCAGACTGGCAAAATTTCAGCTCATAAAACGGAGCAGATGTCAGAAGGTAAGAAATTGCGTGTTATACAAACAGTGCATCCCGAATCAGGGCCCAGTATGGACGGAGGAGTAGGCCTATACAAGTGGCAGCAGTTTGTACTGTGAAGCTACCTGTACGGGTTGTATAAACCTTAACTTTACAGTTCTGGAAAGGGGTCCCGACGGTTGTCCCCGGGTCAAGTCTCCCCGGGTCAAGTCTCCCCAGGTCAAGTCCCCCCCACAAAAAAATAAATTACCCCAGTGAAAAATGGAAAAGCAAAAAAGAAATTAAATAAATTATCCCCCCCCCCAAAAAAAAATAAATTACCCCAGTGAAAACTTGAAAAAGAAACAAAAAATTAAAGTATTATTGAATTATTTATACAGGGGACGACTTGACCCGGGGACGACATGGTTTGCAGATGTCTTGACCAACATTCCTTGCACAAGGAAGGTGGACGACTGACCACCAGACCACATTTCACTGGAATTGGGATATTTTTTGTAGCAGCAATCTGACTGAATAATTTTCCCGATCAGGAACTGTGAAAACGACTGTATGTGTAGAGATCTCACTCTCTCGAGTTGTCTCTCTGTTAAAGTCGAGTTGTCCCAAACAGACAATGACGGACGACTATTAAACCATCATGACCATGCTGACCAAAGATCATATAGCGCCGCGATGCAAGATGGCGAACTTCAAAATGAATACACGTAAAACGTTGTAATTGCATGGGCGCCATTTGAGCAATAGATACACCTGTGCAATGCACATTAATGCAAAGGCCCAGGCACTGCGACAGGCACGTGCACCTGACCTGGTGAGCCTGCACCTAAGCATTACCGTAAACTGCGAAGGCGTATCGCTTGCTCAAATGGCGCCCATGGTAATTACACCCTTTGGGCAGAGTTATCCATCTTGGCTTGCGCCTTCGGCGGTATACGATCTTTGATGCTGACGTGCATGATGAACGTCAGACATGACATCAGACTAGGCCTACTAACATGACTAAAAAAAAAGCATCCTTCACCTTTTCAAATTCCAGTTCATGGAAGTCAATTTCTTCGGCAAAGCTGACCTGATGCTGGAGCTTAGCCATCTTTAGGCCTCACTTTCAAAATTAACAAAAACCTCACATGTCTATGCACATGTGTCTCTGGAAGTGACAAGCTGACCAACAACACTTCCCCTTTTTTTTTTCCTGGAAAAGCTCCTCCTCAGATTTTCGAGCCCGCCCTCTATTGAAAAAACCCAGCGCATTGCATGATGGGAAGGAAATACTTTTGCCCGAAAGTGGTCTTATGGACAGCTTCATTCGCTGACTGGTGTGCTTTGTCTCGTTAACGAAACATCCAAACTTTCTTTAAAAATCGAAAAACTCTTTCTGTTTTTTTAATTGAATAAAGGTAAGTGTTTTTGTATATTTACATGTGTAGTTATTGTTATAAGACACAATGATAGATTAACCAAATCGGAGAAAGCAACTCCAACTTGCTTGCATGACTTGCGAGCGGCGTCCCGTTTCCATGGATATGATTGACATTACAATGTACCTCCAGAACTGTAAGGTTTATACAAAGTTTAAAATAACAAACCTTGAAGATAGCCCCTGTACAAACTCCCATAAACACTTTTGGCTGTTTTGATTCTGCCAACTTACTCTCCCATCACATGATGATTTGTGCTGCCAAATTTCATACATGTACATGATGTAGGCTATATGCCTTCGCTTCTTGGTGAAGTTACATGTAGATGTCAGATTGGGAGGTTCTACTTCAAGAATTCTAATAAGACTACTCCATGTGACTTAGAGCCGACACGGTTTACATGGTGTTGTAACACTTTGGGGTTTTGGAAAGTGCTCTGCTACAGTGCCAGGGTCAGGTAGTTGTACCTCAGTTTGTGCTTTTTACCCTTAAAGTCAGACCCTCATAATGAACTTCTACCGATATCGACCATCCGGGTTCCAGTGTATTTTGTAGAATTTAACCCATATTATTGTCTTCCTTAGTCTGTCCATTTGTTTTCAACATGTTCAATTTTCGGTGAGTTTGCATATTACATTTATAAATCATTCACATAAAACAAACTCGCCCATGGAAAAGTGACACTTTCCATGCCTACTTGTAGCCATTTCTTGGGGACTGAGGACCATGCACATGTATGATCTGTACATTATTTCAACTTTGCCCTTGGTGGGAAGCCCCCACAAACCCAGGGACTTGAGGGAGTTGATCCTGATCATGCTCGACTAATTTTTTTACCAAACGATTTACTTTTTCAAAAGAAACTCTAGGGATGCTTCTTGTGCTACAGAGCTCAGCTGAAAATTTTCACTTGAATAAGCCTGTTGCGAGTTAAATTTGAAGAAAATCTGGTGGAGGTTTTTCTTTCAAAAACCCTCTTTCAGGGTAGGCATATAGATGTACAAAAAAAAAAATCTGTTAACTCCATGGCAAGAAAGCTTTAAATATATTTGATTGGAAGACACATCTTCTAGCAGCCGTTAAATTTTTTGGTCATCTGATGCACCTTTCAAACTCGCTCCATGACAACTATTTCATGGCTCAGTGTGAGCACTCCAACAAAGTCAAGCATTTGTATTCAGGAAGTAAATGTGGAATGGAATTGAGCAAAATGCCTCAAATCAAAGAAATTGGCTCAGTGTGAGCACTCCAACAAAGTCAAGCATTTGTATTCAGGAAGTAAATGTGGAATGGAATTGAGCAAAATGCCTCAAATCAAAGAAAGCCATGGAATTTGATTGGCCTGACAGAGAAAGTAGTCAGTCTATTTTTTTGTTCACATCTGACACATCTTCAACAACAATAAAGACGTGTTAAACTGGAAAGAGATCGTAATAATTATCCTTGAATCTAGAAAAAAATCATTGGGATAAACTGGGTAAAATTAATGAATTCTGTTTACATGAAATGCTTGAAATCCAGACATGTCTCAGTGAGCATTAATTAATGCTGACATTTTTGAGGCCTAATATAAAGAAAATGGATCAAAAAAATTAAGACAGAAATTTATTAGAAATTACACTAACATAATATCAAATTACAGTTGAAATGCAAGTAGTTTATATCATTCCAGAGTTTTTGCTCAATCATTTGATCTTAGGAAAGCCTCCCAAGATGATGGAACAAGTCCATTTAGCTGGGGAAGAAGAGGATGAATTGTACTCTGGCTACAATGACTACAACCCACTCTTCGATACAGAGGTTGGAGTGATGGCATGTTGTGTGTATACTGGACTAATATTAACCCTCCTATGCTGAAGTCACTCGTTGGGTCACTTGGTAAACACCTCAAAGAAGCACAGCTGTGTTGTGTTGTGCACTGCACC